GCAGAAGTATATACACCAGAATAGAGTGTAACGAAAAGAAGAGAAAAATACCGATTCAGAGCCGCCGTCAAACCGGTGATTGCCAAAAGGCGCCAAGGGACCACGCCGAATCGGACGACGACGATATGCTGGGCCACTTCTGCTCGCGTTATCAACCAACATTTGGGTCACGTCTGCAAAATTATTCAGTTATGCGACCACGGAATGAGCGCGGTAAAAAGCTAATGAGATTACCAATTCTGGCAAAAGGCGGCGTTCTCGGCTCTGACGGTACGCCACTACCTTCAGCAGTCAAAATTTTTCTGGTTGTCGAAGTTGGACGCTGTGTTCCGCCGCTCTTCAGATGATCGAAAGCACAGCGCGTTAGGGGTCCAGCGGGAACTACATTCAGTCTGGTGTCATTTATCGCTTGTTCATTACCTCTTTTCACCTTAATTTTGTCAAATTATTCTTAAATTTTTTTTCTTAATTCTTATTCTTAATAAAAATAAAAATTCTTATTCTTAAATGTCTCAACAAATTAAATCTTTCAACATATTAAGCAAATAAAAAAAAATAAATCAAAAAAAATAAATCTTATAAAAGCCATATTACTTTACTTGAAAATTCAAAACAAACCATTTCAAACCTACGATGAGTCAGCGACTGCTGAGTGAATGAAGCCTTCTGAGATGCGTTCGAAGTGCCTGAGGCGTTTCGAGGTGTCTCCGGAGTAAATGAAACAGTTCGAGGCGTTTTTGAATTGGTTGAGGCGCCTTGAGGCGTTTTTCGTGTGTGTGAAGCGCTACGGGGAGTTTTAGGAATGCACGAAACGCTGCACGGCCTTTTGGGAGTACAAGCACTCAGGGGAAGCCATAAAGTGTTTGTAATTCTTTTAGTTCTTTGTTTTGCGCTATCCCGCGAACGTGCTGATCCTGGCGCCAAATCTCTGTCGTATACAGTGCTCTGCTGAAAAAAACGTGGATGAAAATGCCCACAATCATAAATATTTTTGACGTAAATCGGCCATTGGTGAACGCGAATCCAATAGAAAAGTGTACATTTACTGATGAGGAAGAACTGCAGTGTGAAGTTTCTCTGAGCGCACTGGGCGGTGGTGGTGGTGGTGTGCGATCTTCCACACTTGCATG